TTTAGGAAAATAAAAGAGACGGGTACGGAGGTGCTGTTATCAAATGAAGACGGTTGTTCATGGTTGTAGTCTTGTAGGCAGGAACAATGGTGGCCACCGAGGGCTGATTCCAGTGAAGTGCCAGCGTCCAACCATGAGCAATGAATAATGAAATCCAAGTTGCTCACCTGAACTATATTATCGAGGCTAGCAATTCTCGAATTTATTGCGGTGAACCTCCACTAGACCGTTTCGGTCCCCTGTGGCCAAGCCCAAATCAGCTGGAGGGAATAGTGGATTCGGGCAGTTGGAAAAGCATCCCAGCATTCAGAATGATTGAGATAAACGTTCCCGGTAAGATATGCAACCAAGAGTTTGACTTTGGGTTTTGTCACACTTCTGCCGAGAACTCCGTGCCTTGAGATTTATCGTAAACAGAACAGAAAATCCATCAACAATACGGTATCTTTGGAAGGTATCAACCCACGCAGTTTCTCTAATTCACTGGTTCGAAATCTAGCCACAGTTACTGTCTACATAAAGTTAGCGGGACTTTCAAACCAGCTGCAAATAAACGGAGAACACAACTAAACTTCTTGTGTCGGAGTGAAGGAACAATAGACGGATCGACAACAGTCCCAGTTTACAGGTAACTTTGAGTCGAGCTGATCTGACCAGGAAACCAGATGTGGCCAGTGGCTGGTGGAAAGTGTTGTCTGGGATTGTTGTGGGGCCACACCAAGATGAAAAAAAACGAAGGATTGCCACAGGGCAGAATACACAACCTAACACCATTAGAGCATCATGACAGCCCCGACTTACAACATTAGGTCTGAACGGAGGTTGTACCATTCGCCGTTCGATTCTGTCCCAGTCCAGGCGACAAAAAAATAAATGGTCCTTTATTTCCGACTTCCCATCCAGACCACACCCCAGTCGTCCCTCGGGGTTTTTCACTAATAGCTGACCGAGTGAAAAAGGAAGGCAAGATAATGAGATAAATAAGTGCGATTGCGCTAGTAACGGTCATCCCAGCTATCCGAAACAAACGCCATTTTTAAAAAAGAATGGGAGCGACCAAGTTCCGTTGAGAGGGATGTAGTTGAAACAAATAGAGCGGGAACTTTTCCTTACTGTGGGCAATATCTTAATCAAAACAGCAAAAGCATCGCAGACAAAGCACCGGGTTACGAGAACTAGGAAGAGATGATCTCATCACAAAATAATAAGACGAGTTAAATCTGCATAAAAAAGGAAAAGCTGAACCATCACAGATAAACTGGTGTACCGGAAAGAATATTCGATCTGGTTTACGACACTCCGATACAGTGGTTTTCTCCAACGGGCAAGAAAACCCACGTACATCGGTACTTGAGGAAAATGTGCGTGAATTTGGGCAATTACAGACTCAGAAAGACCCAAAAAGAAATTTATTGAATGGCCGTTCAGCTCATCTCTTGGAAGGCTGGGGAAATAATTGGTATTCGTATGTTATATTGGTTTCTCTCTAAGAAAAAATTAACAATAAGGGCCAGCACGGATCCCAAAGAAGCCTGCATAGCTTGCGAATCATTTGGTTTGTACCTTGAAGACAGCATGAACTAGCAGAATATTCTAAAGAGGAAGCTCTCAGACACGGTTCATTCACCTTGGCGGTTGGAGGTCTTTCGAGCAGAACTATACCGTACACTGCCACCAGCTTACCTGACATCAGATTTACAACCGGTTCGGCATTTAGTGGAAAATTCAACCCTAAAGTAATTTGGTCCGCGTCTGGGCTGATTACGATCGCATGCGCGTACTGTAGGTACCGACACGATGTCAATTTGTAAGCTTCCATACACTGATCCTACTGCACGCGGTTTACTCAGTCTTATTGACAGCCTGTATCGATTAAGAGCCACGTGTGATGCTCGTTTATCCCGACTATCTATCGTCTGCACTGTCGCCCACATTGAGGAACCTATTGCAACTCAAGCAAGAAAACTGCGGAACTTTCTATTAGCTAACACGTTGGTCAAAGCGGCATTTACGACCTCTTCTGCGCTACAGATGAGGCATTTTTGCAGCTGAACAAACTTCGTCCTTCTTGTTGTCGAAGTGACCACTTATTCAGCCGATCGATACCTCTTTCCCAGTAATTCTTCGATCTATGATAGTTCCTACCCAGATATAGAAGTAATGAACACCAATTACGCCAGACTAAGGCTTCAGCAACGCAGCGTTGACAACCCAGTTCGAAAGCAATTACTGTCAAGAAATCCATTTGAAGTTCGGCATGCCCCTCTCACACTTCTCTATTCTGGGCATCCTAGTCAAGTTGTTATTTCCTTGAACAACTTGACTTGGACAATTCACACCATCCTCGAAATAGCTCAGTGGTTAAGGCGAAAAATTACTGACCGGAAGGTCCGTGGTTCCAATCTAACCTTGACTGCTTAGGTCTGGGCAACCTGACAGTAGCTCAGTCCTCGCGCTTTCTTCGGGAAGCCTGGCAGCTAGGCACCGGCATTACAGTTAACCGATCGCTTTTTATTTTATTCATCAGAGGCTTCAACTCTTCGAAAGTGTGGATGGACGCCATTTTAGAGCCACTCTAGTTGTCGTTTCGTTTATGAGCTATTTTTGGAAATGCCAAATCCGAATATACACGAAAGGCTTAGGCACCGTTCTCTTTCTCTGCGCTCGTCATCAGTAGCGGTTAGTTATTTGTCAGTCAGATGAGAACCAATTGAGAGCAGGAGTCCCAACTGTGTTGGGGGCTTTGGAATCCAAACTCAAGGTAGAGACAGGGTTACGGTAGGTAAGTAGGTACCAGATACGACCTAACATACCAGCTCAACTTCGAGAGTATCAGCGGATACGCAGTTTTGGGACTCCAGAGTGATAAGAACGAACCAGAGGGGGAACAGCTTCTAAATGTTATGACCTGTGAAGTCACAATGAGAGTAAGACAGATTCAGAGTTTAGCCTAACTCCTAACTGTAGGTTAGTTCTCTTGAGGGAGCTTACGACAGATCGTCAGGCATATTCAACTGCCTGTGTTATTTTGGTCGATGTACGTTGCACAACTTTTTATTGCTGGTCTCTTATTCTACCCTCCCTTCTCGCAACATGTGCCGTACACGTATTCGACAGACCAATCACAACGCGCACGTAGTTGGGTGGAGTTGATTTGATTATGACTTCATTGTTTGGACAGATGCAACTTGCTGTCGATTTCGTGACAGTGGTGAACGTCTTCAGCCCGACAAAACGACTCAACGCGTTCTACTTACAGGACATAACGTACAAGCTAAAAATAAGCACTAAGACCTGAACAGATTGTTGTTAGGGCTAAGCTGTGTACGAACAGAGCTTTACATGAGAACCAGTTACATGGGTCTGTTCGGAGGAAAAGCTTACACAATCAGTGCAAACTGACCGACTGGATACCATGTAGGTACTGGAAGCAGAGGTGTAGAACTACCGACAGAAGTGACAGTTTACACAAATGCCCGACAAGAGCTATCTATAAAACGCGGGCCATTTTTCGACAGCACCACTGGCTGTATAAGGTTTGTGGAGAGCTCCATTCCATATAATCAGATCTTGAATCCCTCAACAGATGAACTGATCACACTGTATAGGTTGCGCTGGCTTGGCCACAAGTCGACCGACTTCCTCGAAGGGCTCTTTTCGTACAACCACGTGAAGGGTGGAAGAGATCCAGAGGCGGTCAAGCAATGATTTGGCAGCGACGTATGAAAGTCATTATCAACAAACTCAGCTACGCTGGTCACTGCATTCTTCCTGGATGGGGACCCCGAGACGGGCCACATCAATGGCTAGAGACATTGTCAGACATGGCCCAATCGCGCCCTCAATGGCGCTCGTGCATCCAACCTATTGCCTTCAATGCACAGCTCCCTTCCCATTACACCCAATTAACAGCCCACTGACATTGCTGGACTTATACACCAATTTATCAGTTCCTGCCTCCAATGCGCAGCTACCTATCCTTCCCCCCAAATCATCGGTGAACAAAACTGCGGCAGCTACAACCACTGTACGAGGAGTACGCGGTTATTACAGCTGACAACGATGATGATGATAATGAATCCCATCCTGTGAGTGAATTCAACCTACGCTGAGAAACACTGCACGGTGCTTCACGCTTGTTGTAAGTCAGTGCGCCCCTCGTGGATCACCAGAGTGATCCAAACTCGCAACCTTCCGGATAACCGTAGAAAAGAGCCATCATTGATGTGCACAGAAAACAGCGTTAGGCATCCACAAATTGCATAACCGAAGCAATCACGGCTGGTGTAAGCTGGTTACTTAATTGAAGTCTCGGATACGAGGCCTACGTTACCAGTAGGATAAAGTAGCACGTCAGGGCCAGATAAAAAAATGACTTCCTACGGAGGGTTACGTTTCTCACTAGTCCGATGATGACACGCAGCATACCTCAATAATGAAGGAGCACGTGAAAAAAGTCTAACATCTATCGAACCACGGGAAACAAACACAAAGGAACCGGCTGCATTTTTTTCGGAGACAACGAAGAGACGGAAAAATACGGAGCAAGCAATACAAACCTACAATTTATAACACGGAATGAAACCATCAAGTAAGCTAGGACAGTCGATGTTGAAAATTAGTTTATTCGCTGCTAACTTCGTAGACAGATCCCTCGTTCATCAAATTCAATTAAAAAAAAGTGATTCCCCATACGTCAGTCATTTAAAGCAATCGGAAAGACAGGTTCAAATGCGTAATAACTGTGTCCGTGGCGCTTCACCCATGCGTGTCAATAATAACGTTTAGCGTTTTAAATTCAGCACGGTAACATGAGAAGGCGTCTACATTGCCCCGATCGATCTTTTGTCTCCATCTAGCAACCAATTCTTACCTTTGGTTTCAAAAAGTTGTTAGTGTGTAACAGTTACTACAGCGCTTTGACAGACAGGGCAAACAAAGCATGGGGAGCAGGTGAAAACAAATTAAGCGCACTGACCGAATGAAATCGAACGAATATGACGGCGGATCTGCTCAATGGTGGCTCAGTGAATTCGTCTTGTTTTAGGGGTTGTACAAAGAGTAGGTGGTACGCGCTCAAATAAAAAAATAGAGTGATGGTGGATAAACTACTTGTACCAGATTGTAGCCAAAGTCCATGATGAGTGATAGAGGTGGTTTGTCCTCCCAGAGCAGATAATCACAGCAAAGTGCGGAGTCCTTAGCACCGACGGCTTGAAACTTTAATGGTGATGACCTCAAAAAAGGAGCGGTACTCACTTGTCATTCCATCTGGCCCCAAGGAAGTTTTGGAATGCTGTTTTGAGGCATCCAGAGGAATACCGCAGAATGTTTTTCGAGAGTGACTCCTCTGAAGCATTCGTCTACCCTCACAGAAGACTGAGAGGTTTACGGGAAGCTTCACGCCGCCAAAGCTTTGCCCAGTGGCACACACCCGAACTGTCGCCGTGATCTATCGCCTCTGTTCTTCTTGTACTGCAAACAGCCTCATCGTGATAGAGGCATGCCACATGCGAACATACGCAATTTTTCACTAGGGCCGAAGAAGGGCCCGTAAGAAAGCAAGGGGAGAACCGACAAATGTACAACAGCTAGGCTAACACTCTATAGACAGAATTCGGCCCTGGATCATTAAATGCGTCACTCTGGTGAGCAGTTCCTTTCCTGACCAGATACCGTGAGGAACTCACTCCATCATCAGCAACATCATCATCATCATCGAGTAAACGCTGAACACTGATGCTTCGTTACCTAAAAACCTGATTTTTTTAGAAGCCTTAGTGCAAGCAAAGAAGAGGAGGAACGCACCTAGTGCTAGCCTACCACAATCGGTAAGACATCTATTCAGGCAATATGGATAGTGATTGACAGCTGACATCGATTAGCGGGCATATCTTACAGCTTCTTTAAGTGTGCACAACAGGGAGTCGGGTGGACCCCATCCTGGAAGGCGAGCCGCACCAGGTATTTCGTAATGGCTCTCAAACCTCTCTGCCGGGTAAAACGTTGACCTACCTGCACCACTCCGAGTTAGGCACGGAAAAAAGCACTGTATTCGGCAACCGATGATTCGACACGCACAGTAGATGACCCTCCACCAAGGCCTTTGGGCCTTGGAAACGGGCTTCGATCGGAGTTTTCAAATTGTCTAGTTGCGGATTCTCTGGCACCAGCTTAAACGAGTTATGGTAGTGAGAAGGACCTGTTGTCGAAGACCTAAAGATGCCTTTGTCTCGGTGCTCTCAGAAACCGCATCTCACAGCAATACAACAAAACGGCCCGTACCACAGCACAGGTCCCTTAATATTCAGCGTATGCTGCTCTCTCACTATAAGTGTCTCAACCTAGCAAACTCGACTTCCAAGAAACGCTAAACCGCCCACGGGCTCGAGTGCCTCTTCTTGGATTATAAGTGGTGTGTTCGGTGAATTGATGAATACTTTGTGAGTGCGAAGCGCATGCCAAAGGAAGGGATGACCTGGTCACTTCATCCAAGAACACCTGTGCCCTGCTTTCCTGTTCGAAGACGAGAACAATGTGGTTTGCATATTAGATCGATAAGGATTTCGTCAGCAGCATAACCATGGGAGTTCTTCATATTGAGGTAATCAATGAAGGAATACATTGTGCGGGCCCATGAACACGTTCGTCAGAAACGTAACGTTGGCGGCAAACTGAAATAGGGTATCGAATCATAAGAGATATACACGGAATACCAGAGTGCAAGGTCACCATTGTTCAAATATAAAGTTGTCAAACACTCCGGGAGGTGAATGTTACCGTTGGTCCATCCTCGGGTAAAACGGTATCAGCGCGTAATAAATAAAAGACAATAAATCAGGAAGCCCACCCAACCGCGCCCTGATGATGCCACCTTTATCGGTGACGAAATGTTTGCAAGCTAAATTTTAAGCTCGGCAGACAAGTCAACGACTACCTGATCAATTACCAAGAAATTACAGTAATGCAGTACGTTCCCTAGTCCATTTTTGGCGACCACTTGAGAGGGTCCAGAGAGGGAGAGCTGTTGAATTGAACGCAATTTTGGACCCTCATAGTTGCAGAGAAGAGTCGTCGGCTTTGATGAGAATCATGTGTGTGTACTTAATCCATAAGCAGTAAGCATTCAGTCGTGGCGTGAATCGTTTTAAGGGACAGCTACCGTGCAACCCACATGAAGCATGAGAGTCGAGATAGGTACAGATTGCTCTGACTTAGAGAGGAACACTGGAAAGGTTAGGGGCGGGTTTGAAACATAGACCATCTCTCAACTTTCTAGCTAGGTTGGTAGTAAGAATCGATGTAGTGAACAGTACTTGAATGACTATAGAGGAGAAATTGAAGCATATTGGATCCTAGTTACTTACTGCTTTACAAATGTTGGCAGCTTCCTTAGACATACTTTTCGGGTAGTAGACATTACGCTGCAAAATATTCACGAAAAGGTCATCCTCGTCTTCTCCTTCAAAGGGTGGCTGAAAAGTACAGATGCGACGTGATGAAGCAAGGTTGGTTCATATACACTTTCAAACATGACATCTTGGTTATTCCGTATAAAAATGAAAAACTGCGCCAAGTTGTTCAAAAAAGAGAACAATGTAATGGTCCATTGGAAGGGTTCGAGAGAGAAATAAAGTGCACAAGAGCACATTCCACCACGGTAGTGAAACGATGGTGTTTTGGAACAAGATCAGCCATCAGATGTTCTATCACTGCACTGTTTGTAGCACGGGTGGAAATAAGGTCTTCGCTGAGACCAACTGACCAGTTACAGACTATTGCACAGGAAAGCAAAACTCTCATATGCACTCTTAATTACCAAAACTGAATATCCAGATTCTCTCTTGAACGCGTCTCCCTGAACTTTCCTGTATATTGGTTGAGTGTTGCACAAGTCCAACCGAATGCTACAAGGCGACTCCACAAATCCGCAATAGATCTCCCTTTTCAAGCGAATTCACAATAAAACATACTACTCGCATGTCACTCCCATCAGTAGTATCACCGTTACATAGGTAGTAAAACTACGTGACACCGCTGAGGTAAGCTCAGGTGTGTTTTCAGGTCTATCCCATCGTTCTGCCGATAAAGGAACATCTGGCGGTCTATGGTCGATTTTGACGGGGTATAATGCGAGAACTGCGCACACTCCATACGTCAATTTTTCCTATAATCCCGTGTAATAAAAGTATCCTCAGTTTGGTCGCCTAGCACACATGTTCCTTCAAAGTAGGGACCTATCGATACTTCATGAATAAACCTGATTCCACCTTTGCCATCAAGAGAGCAAAGAGAGCACTCTCCTCAGGAGAGTGCGCTTGGAGTATAGTGCAACTGAATGATCACCTAAAGCGTCGGCTGCTTTCTGGCAGCGAATTGCCCGGGATGATATCAAATCAGGCAAACTGAAAAATAACTACGTTACTAGGACATCGGTGAAATAGGGAACCGAACCGGTACCTCTGTATTGAGTATTCACCAACTTCGTGCAGTGGTTTTACATTCGGCATTGACGAGACTGCGATAACGTGAAACGGCATGTATCCGCGCTAAAACCATTAAGGTGAAAAACTATGGAATAGATGAGGCAGCAACGCCCGTCCTTTGCTGAGGAAGGTTCACATACGACAGGATGAGTCGACACGCATTGAAGATCTGCCAACCAACTGCCATTTCCTAGACTAATTTGACCAAGCAACTGCAATTTCAAAGAAACACTGAACACTAAAACGTCAGCAACAGGCCCAAATAGCACTAAAATTAGGCAATAAGACACAGATTCATTTGATGACAGCGAAGTTTATCAAGCCGGGAGAAAGGATCTTACCTGACCAGCAATCATTTCGTAGAGAAGTATTCCATAAGACCACCAATCTACCGACTTCCCGTATGGCTGGTAGCGTAAAATCTGAAATGACAATACAGTGAAGGTAACAGGTTAGGGGAGATCCACAAAGAAATGTGAACAATCTGTTGAAAAAGCGTACTTTTTCGTATTTGCCACTCCCTTCAGACTCCCAATTCTTCCCTCTTTACTTCATTTACTTGGTGACTTTGACTCTACAATACGTTGACCTAAATTGGTATGAGTTCAAACACGCTACTATTGAGTTCTTACGCCATACTCTACTGAGTTCATTCAGCTTCCGTCTGTTTGATGTGTGAGCACATTTCTTCCGAGCATGTCAACATCAAGTTGAATTCAGCCTATCTATTTTGAAGGGTTTTGCCGGTTTACGATAAAGTGCACCCACCGTCCAATGCTCACCAAGGTTTTGTCTACGCCTACTCGTTTCTTTGAGCACTGCCTTGTTCTGAAATAAATTTGTACAATAATTTGCGTACCAACTCACCGGGTTTTGTAGAACTAATTCATTTTCACCACCATCATCATCATCATCATTATCATACGCAAACGGTCTAAAGTTCATCTCTCTGGTGAGAAATGTATATTTAACTAGAACCAATGTAGCTGAAAAAGCTCAAATGTTGGCCTTACCAGATCTATACACTTCGAATGAACAGATATTTCAACAAACTAATCGCTGACAAATCCATGAATTCAACTTCAGCTTTGCAGACCAACTGCATATCCAAATGTATTGCTCTAATGTGTCATTTGAACTATTCAGAATACCGCATAACGGTAGGTACTTTAATTACACGGTGGAAAAATTGAGCTTGCTCACCTCTGGGGCGATGTAGTCTGGCGTGCCACAAAACGTCTTCGTGGTCACATCTCCTATGATCCCATCCTTGCACATGCCAAAGTCCGCAATTTTGATGTGGCCTTCCGCGTCTAACAGAAGATTGTCTAGTTTCAAGTCTCTGTTGTGAGGTCGCAAACAGAAGGGAATGTGATCGGTTTTCATTACTGAACATATACTACTGAAACTCATATTCATCACAGAAAGACAGATTTAGAGCATTCTGAAGCATGAATGATCTCAAACTTGCATTATGTGATGTATATGTACATTGAAGAGTGGCTTCACACCTTATTTCGTTAGGACACCAATCAATTACACTGGCTGAACTGTCGGGGACGCGTGGACACAGCTTCGAGTTTGCGGTCAGTAACACGGTAAGTCCGCATATAGTCCCGATGCATCAGTGAACATTGCTCAGACAACTTCCATAGTAGAGGAATTCAAGTTACAATTTTGGGGTTTTGCGGGATAGGTATTTTGTTCATAGTCACACCACTCTCGTTTGAACGGCCTTGTCCCTGTTCTAGCGTAGTCATTCTGGTGAGTCCACACCAAAGGAAAGCACTGAACTCGGGTTTCGCTCTCATCAGAGCTCATCAGCAGTGCATATCCAATGGCCCTGCCGGGATTTGAACCCCGGAATTCAAGCTACTTTTATTTTACGTCAACTATTAACACACTACTGGGTCATTCGAGATGCCAAAATAGCTACCATTCGACCCAAAGGAAGCACGAGAGTTGAGCTACTGCCAGGGAACCCAGGCCTAAACAAGAATAATCGGGAAGCCATAGCTGGGAGTGAATGCAGTCTAACTCATCCAATTACTGGCACCACGCAAACCTGAAGTGCGAGATGTAGCGTTTGATTGGGAGCAATACTCTGTCGCTGAATTTGAACATCTGGGATTCCTTTTGCCTAAAACTAAAAAATAATTGGCCTCAAGTGCAAAAGTTCTTGTGACTCCTATTCAAAGAATTAGGGAGATACAGACAAAAATTCAATAGCACTTAAGTGGTTCCTGCCTGAGATAAACAAGTTTAGGGAAGTCATGTTCGCAAGTTTTCCGCTGCAAGCTCCGGATGTTTAAAGTTGGAGTATGTCTGTGCTAATCAACTAACCAGCGAAAAAACGAAGACTTGAAAGACCTCATCAACGCGCAAACTGGGAAGCACAATACAAGCTGAAATATGGTCTGCAACAAATTTTGATAGCTAAAAGTTGGAAGTTTCCACAAAGTTCCCGGCAAGATTAGGCTGGTAAACCCAACAGGCGAAGTAAGCACCACAGCGTGATTTCAGCTTCATTGCTCACCGAGAGATTTAAACATTGTTAACAGCTAGTTCCCCGACCCCTCGCTTCCGGAAGTAACAACGTGTCAGATTAAAAATCGATAAGCAGGTAACGCGATCCGAACTCAAATCAAAGCTATAAATTCGAAATAGTTGGGTGGGTGTTTGCATAGACTTTCAATTCCGATTTCATTGCAAAGATTTTTATTGCAAGTCATTTCGATAACCAAAATTTAAATGCCGGAGCATTATTATACCATTTCTGAACTATTCAGTGGGTCACGTTTGCACACCCTCACTATAGCTGGCGAACAGTGAATATCAGAGAACCAAGAGGGGTTTCAACCGGATGATTGGTGCATTTACCGCATCTCTACTTACTCTTGACTTCTTTCACACGAACCTACTCAAAAAAGTTGCAGTTAGCTTCGTAGGTCCTGCGATGACACCAGTTAGATCGTTTCATTGAATGTTGCCTCCCTAGGGCCAATCGGTCGTATCAGCTGATATGGGGTAGGGCTATTTCCGGTAGCAAAAGCCCTCTCCAGCTCCCGAGCTTTCAAAGCTTTCAGTCTTTCCTTAGGCACTCCACTGTTTGGTGTTTTACGAATTCGCTCACGCCATCGTACTCTTTTCCAGCTAGTATATACTTCCTGGAATCAATCAGGGTTAGGGATCTGGACGACATGCAGTGATAGTTTCAGTGTATCGGAGACGTCGGACAGACAGCACTGAAGACCACTAACATAGTTTATTTCACATGTTGCCATGCTTCATCCACGTACTCACTACCGGTGAAAAGAAGAAGGCCTTCGCTGCGGAGTTATTCACTAGAAAACGCCAAGTGAACAGTTACAGACTATTGGGCAGGGAAGCAAAACTCTCATATGTATCTTGTTTACAAAAAGTGAATATCCATCTTCTCCTTGATCGAGTCTTCATGAACTTTCGTGGATAAATAAAAAAATAAATCGTTCAGCTGTAGCGCCCTTTCGGTGCCTAGCTGCCATACCACCCGAAGGAAGCACGAGGGCTGGGATACTGTCAGGTTTCCCAAGCCTAGACAGGGGAAGTCGAGTGGCGGAGGTCGGGTTCGAACCACGGACCTTCCGGTCAGTAAATTCGCGCTCTAACCACTTGATCCATCTCGCCCCTATCCACTTTTGTGGATATTCATTGACTGTTCATCAAATGCAAGCAAATGCGACTCCACAAGTTCCGTAATAGATCTCACTTTTCGAGAGACGCAAGGCGGATTTACGAGAAAACATATTACTCGCATACTCCATCAGTAGTATCCACCGTTACATCGGTACAGTATCGGTTTACTATAACGTTGTTCAGCAAGCTCAGATCGATACTGTTGAGCTACCGTTGGTAGTTCTTCGAAGATGAAGGGGGAAAACCCTCCTGCCTTCACACTCTTATCTCAGAAGACAGCACGACTTTACCCCCAGACCACTTCGTAGCACGATTACTCATAGTACAGGGTCTCACTGCTCTTGATCTAACTGCTCCCCTTTGGCCTTCCTGGCATGCCGGAATCTTGTGGAACGAAGTTCCAACCAGTGTAGCCAGCGGGAACATTGCAGCACTCAAGCCCAACTACCACGTCAAGGTGGAAGCTTTAGGTCGAGAAAACGATTTGGCAACAAAGGGTGAAAGTCATTACCCGCAAACAGCTGTGCTGTCCACTGCCTTCTGTTTGGATGGGGACCCTAGGGCGAGACACATCAATGGTTATAGACATTGTCAAACATGGCGCAGTCGTGCCCTCAATGGCGCTCGCGCATCTAAACTATTACCTTCAATGCATAGCTCCCTTCCCAATCTCCCCAATTAAACGTCCACTATCAATCCTCTGTTTACACAGCTATCTACCCACCTCTCCAAATTACCGTGAACCAAACTGTAGGAGCTAGAACGCGGTTTTCACAGCTGATCAAGGAGTCTCCTGTGCGACTCCCACAATGATCCAATGATCCAATGATCCCTCAATGATCTCATGATCCAGATAGTGATATCGTTGAGATAATCAAAAGAGGTAAATGGTGCAGACGGTGGGATGGTAGACGGATATTCGATTGATTCTAAAATAAGAAGTAAGGAGGTGGGATGACATTCTTGTGTACGATCTTGAATCACCAAGCAGGCGTGTTCTCTACCAACCGAGCTGTTCAGGACGCCCGCTCTACGTCACTTTTATGCACTGGAGTTTCACACACGAATCGTCCACCTTTACCTTATGGAATGATTCGTAACATGAGAATAATGTGTTCCATAACTTTATTTATTTCTTTACAATAAACGTTTCAAATAAATTATGGTTGCACGGCAGTGAAGCATCGGTGTTGAACACTGATATCATGCTGTCGATGATGATGATGATGGTGATGATGATGATGATGATGATGATGAATTACAAACAAGATGATCCTCTAAATGCAGGCATAGCTAAATTCTAATGATAATCGCATGTGAACAATCATGAAAACATGAACTACGAGTTACATTGCCTGGCTTGTGTTTGGTTGAATTCTTTCAAGTCGAATTTTTGTTGTGACACATTAGAAAACATCGTGAGTCATGTTAGAATTACGAATCTTCAGTAGCAGGCCGCTCAAACTTTGGGAGTGGGCCCGTGAAGAACGGATTCCAAACAAGCACTCTGTGAATCCATTAGTAATCGTTCCAAAAACTGCAAATAGGCTGAAACATTTCACTCTTTAATCGGTTAGTGAATACATCCTTACAACCTATCGATATATTTGTAGTGAAAATAAGTATTCACAAAAACTCGAACGAAACAAGAGCGGTTCGGTAAACAGCGGGGAAGTTCAATCCCGCCGAGCTGTCAATCAGATTATGCAGTGAAAATGGGAAAATAATTTCCAGACACAAAATTTACCGTTTCTTACACTAATTTGGGGAGCGTTTCGACCAATATCTTTTCCCTTTCACATATTTTTTCATTACAGGTATCGTCCCCCAATATGAATCCATCACCATTTAGCGTAGATATTTTGTGTGCAGAATCATATCACTTTACTATGTGGATAAGGAATGGTTTTTCAAATTGAATTGGAGTCTCCCACTTGTGAGGTCAATGTTTGAGAATCTGACTTGATTCGGGTAAATTGCGCAGGTTTTGAGCTTCGGTTGGAAGTATCTGTTTTCCTAGCAGAAACGGCCTCATGAGGTGAATGCTATTTTGAAACCACATTATTAGTTGAGAGATAAGCTTCTTATGCCCAATTAATGAAAAATGTGGAGTACACTTGAAAACATCCCACATAAGATGTATCGTTGACGGAGGCACTTTTATAAAATGGCTTCGTTCGGTGCGTCATTGCTACCCATGACAATATCCGAAAAGTTTTACATCGCGGAAGTTGAATATGCAAACGCCATCGAGTTTGCATATACAGAGATCAAGAAACACTGGACCAATTAACAGACAATTAACGTCTGTCGATCGCACCAATGAGCACCTTGTGCATTCCTAATAATAATATTATTACTACTATAACGGTTCAGCTATAGTACCCTTGCGGTGCCTAGTCACCTGAGGTACTGTCAGGTCACCCAAGCCTAAGCAGGAGCGGTAAAGATGTCAGCGTTGGGCTCGAACGGACTTTCCGAGGACCAAGTTCGCGTCTTAACCACTAAGCTATCTCAAGCTTAAAGTAAGCTGAACTTTGATTTCGTGCAAGTTGTAGTTAGGGTACGTAGCAGGAAGGAAGAGACGTGCGTGACAACAAAATATTAAAACAAATTGTATAGTTTCCGCTACGAATAGATTTACTTCCCTTCCAATGGAACTCAGTTAAGCAACTAACCGATAAATTATTCCTCGGTCATGTAGGAAGAACAGCCCGATGGCGACCTCGGCACTGTAGAAACTGTTAAAAAAACAACTCGAACGAAACAAGAGCGGTTCGGTAAACAGCGGGGAAGTTCAATCCCGCCGAGCTGTCAATCAGATTATGCAGTGAAAATGGGAAAATAATTTCCAGACACAAAATTTACCGTTTCTTACACTAATTTGGGGAGCGTTTCGACCAATATCTTTTCCCTTTCACATATTTTTTCATTACAGGTATCGTCCCCCAATATGAATCCATCACCATTTAGCGTAGATATTTTGTGTGCAGAATCATATCACTTTACTATGTGGATAAGGAATGGTTTTTCAAATTGAATTGGAGTCTCCCACTTGTGAGGTCAATGTTTGAGAATCTGACTTGATTCGGGTAAATTGCGCAGGTTTTGAGCTTCGGTTGGAAGTATCTGTTTTCCTAGCAGAAACGGCCTCATGAGGTGAATGCTATTTTGAAACCACATTATTAGTTGAGAGATAAGCTTCTTATGCCCAATTAATGAAAAATGTGGAGTACACTTGAAAACATCCCACATAAGATGTATCGTTGACGGAGGCACTTTTATAAAATGGATTCGTTCGGTGCGTCATTGCTACCCATGACAATATCCGAAAAGTTTTACATCGCGGAAGTTGAATATGCAAACGCCATCGAGTTTGCATATACAGAGATCAAGAAACACTGGACCAATTAACAGACAATTAACGTCTGTCGATCGCACCAATGAGCACCTTGTGCATTCCTAATAATAATATTATTACTACTATAACGGTTCAGCTATAGTACCCTTGCGGTGCCTAGTCACCTGAGGTACTGTCAGGTCACCCAAGCCTAAGCAGGAGCGGTAAAGATGTCAGCGTTGGGCTCGAACGGACTTTCCGAGGACCAAGTTCGCGTCTTAACCACTAAGCTATCTCAAGCTTAAAGTAAGCTGAACTTTGATTTCGTGCAAGTTGTAGTTAGGGTACGTAGCAGGAAGGAAGAGACGTGCGTGACAACAAAATATTAAAACAAATTGTATAGTTTCCGCTACGAATAGATTTACTTCCCTTCCAATGGAACTCAGTTAAGCAACTAACCGATAAATTATTCCTCGGTCATGTAGGAAGAACAGCCCGATGGCGACCTCGGCACTGTAGAAACTGTTAAAAAAGGGACGCAGAAAAGAAGTTGCACTGTTTATACTGTTGAGAAGATCGCAATCACCTAACTTGGCAACAAGTTTACATCGATTACTGTGGACTATTCCTCTGAAATCAATTTAGACTGTCTTTTTACTAAATACCCAATTTGCTACCAACACTACTATCACAAGTTCGCTAACTATACAGGTTAAAGTAAGGTTGATTAGTTGAGAAGGAAAAACTCATCTTCCCGTCACCGACGCGACTATACTCTAAGTAACAGTGGTTGGATGACATGGGATGCCCTTAGTTTTGAACTGCACCCCGAATCCTATGCCCCAATGGCTCTGCAGAGAACTGTTAAGGTTAAGAGACATCCATAAGTTTCGCTTGCTCTACAAAGCTGGCTGAAGTACATTCATTCCAGGAAAAAAGAAGTCTCTTCGCACGCTGTCTAACTCCGATCCTTGCCAACCTTCCTCGAATGTACAGCGCATTCGAGGTAAGTGTCACCGAAGTCAAGCTAAAAGGATGGTTGAAAAAGGACGTACAGGATAGAAACGTTCACCACCACTACCTAGATATAAACAGACTATCCCAGTAACTCCGAAGGCTGGCAACGAACACGCTCCGCAGGCGTTTATCTGTCGAATCAACTGGTGAGACTGCCCACGGCGAGCCACTAAACGCTGAAGGCAAGCCAAAAGTGTTGGAGGTTTGAGAATTTGTCTTTTGTCAACAAATAAACCAACAGTTCAAACTCCAACTCCTGTACCAGTGATGTGTTTTGCCTTGTATCCGTCGTTAACGTTCAATAACTAAGCCAAAAGTGAGGTTTGAGAATTTGTCTTTTGTCAACAAATAAACCAACAGTTCAAACTCCAACTCCTGTACCAGTGATGTGTTTTGCCTGCCTTCCGTCGTTAACGTTCAATAACTAACACGCATACTTGATGACACACGTTGGTCTCACCGTTTTTGGGCGATCTCACTAGAGTGGCTTTCAAATGGTGAATTTAATCATGTGAACTACTTTCATTTAATTCTGTCCCCTCAACAACAGCTGCTTTTTCGTCCTAAACTTGTTCTGCATAATACATTGTATTGACTCATAAGGCAACTGGATATTCTGCCGTAACTGTGTACCTCTGCTGAATTCTCACTCAGCTGTTTGCAGTCTAGTACCCCTAAAATACAGCTCTGACTCACTTGCGTCATCAATTAATAGCACACCATGGTGCCAAACTAATTCGACCTCTGGCAACGGTGCGCTTTTACTTTTGGGCCTGCATGCTACCGCAGAAACACTCCACCCCTGGCACTCCCACCACACTATCATATCTTCGATAGGCGATATCTGTCGGATACCTCACAGTTTTAGGCTTCAAATATCACAAGCATCATTGTCATTTCCGACCCAAAGACATGGCTGCAGTGTGGTTCTCCATACTTAGAATTCAGTCCTTCGGTTTCACACACGAAACGAGCAAAGCCAGTGAACGTGTAGATCTCGTGACATTATGCACTCGGCCGCAGCGAGTGAATGCGACAGTGCACGTTGCTGTTGAAGTGACAAGAGTAGGTAGACGTGTCACAAGCCACCAGATAGCGTACAAAGGGTAATGTTGTGTGTAAAATTAGGCACCGATATATGTCCTGCAGATGACTTTGATCAGCTTCTTCATTGCCTTGTCCGCATGTTAACAAGGGTCACTTTCAACCGACCTGCGCACGGTCAGCTGAGACGGTAGTCAGTGAAGAAGATGGTCACCACCACGGGTGACCACAAGGTCTCTCAAACCAGGAATGATCCTGTGGCCAATCCCAGTTTAAATAAGTTTAACAAAGAGCCAAAATCATGGTAAACTTCTTTAAAGGTTGAGGCTGTTTACTAAGTTTACTGAGTTCCGGAACCGAGCTGGAACAAAAACTTTCAGTTTTATGAAAATGCGCGGCTCATCAATTATTCCCAGTTCATTCAAACAAGGATTTTCTCCCTTACACTTTATCATAAAATAATATTTCACGTTTCGGTGGTGGGAGTTTATGGAAAGGAAGTGCTCGGTCTGAAACCTTAGCAGTCTACATTCTTCCTTCAAACGAACGAGGCTATTGTAACGACGACACTTACCAGGCAACGGGTTCTTTGAATTTTCCTTCCTTTTGAATTCGGTACATTAGATCACCCCCTGCGACGAATTCCATCACAAAATGCAAGCGATCCTGCAATTCGGGAAGGCAAGAGCGGACATCAGTTGATGAGGTCAATGATCGAATTCCAATCCTAATACCAATTACACGCCAATGGCGAAGAATGTTGGACGATCTATCCAACTACCTAAGTCAATTACTTTGTAAGTCGAACAAGGGGAGAAATGCTGCAAGCCCTGGGTATCATGAGCACCACGCATAGCAGAAAGTCCTATCTTGTACTCAGGCTTTGCATGATCCAGTCAAGAATGTTCTGCACAAACGCATGGTGTTGTAAGGTACGCACCACTATTAGCGGTCTATCGCCGACCGCTGACCTGTGCATGCGCTAGGTAATTATGGAGTATGACTCATATTATTAACAATCTTGATGAAGAATCAATTCATCCTCGAAAAAGTACCAACTGGCAACTACTGGGCTAGTCAGAACCAGAAAAGTGAAATCAAGAGAAAGCAACAGTCCAACAACGTCTAGGAGGAGAATGATCAAATAACTGCGTAAGGTATGTTGCTGTGCGATCCAAGTTCGTATGACAGGCGTTTGCGGTTTGGGAGAATAAACTGAAGCGTGAAAAACTGATCCACGCCAGCGAATTTAGAAATTAACGACCTTCGAAAACATGGCCAATCGGCTGGCAGTCTGCTCCGTCAAGGGAAAGACTATGGCTTCAAATGGCCCAAACGTAGTCCAATGTTAGAGTTGGTAAGAAAGCGACTTGTTTCGCAACCTGAAAGGCTGTTGAAACTAATTTTCGAGCTATTAATGTGCCAAGGAATTGCACAGTAACAAAGGCTTATCCTACTGTATGAATCAAGTGAGGTGGGATAAACTAAACCGAAAAGGCTACTTCTGAAGACATCAGAATCCATCTTTATGAACACATGGACTGAGGGTGAATTGACCAATTTCATCATAAAAGAATGGCGAATAAGTGAGCTTGAGTAAACCAGAGTAGATTAAATCAATGACGTCCAAACAGGCATAACTAACTCCAGTCGAAATGGAATTCTGTAAAACTCTTCCTCTGAGAAGTTTAATGTAAAAGCACAGTAGTTATGGGCTTGACTATGAGGTGACTCTATTGTTGTCATGGGTGGTTGCTGAGGCGAACTGCGCAAAGTTGGTACCTTTTGTTATTGAATGTCATTTCCACGGATGAAACAGACACTCGGATTTTAAGCATCAGCATCGACTGTGACGGGGAAGATTTGAACCTCCAAATGGTCTACGACCTGAGCTCTATTTTACTCGCGCCAGACGTACGTGGGCTCCCTCAGGTCACGAGGCTTCCCTTTGCCTGTTTGTTTTTTGAGAGATTCGCGTATCATTAATTGCTGAACACCAGTGAGTGACCAACACCAGTCTTCAGGTTCTCGGCTCTAAAAGGTCAAGTCGTGTGTGCCTAGAGAAATACTACGCAGATAGTGTTCTGGTTAATCCGGTGCATGAACGGCTGTTCATCGAGCATCTGCAGCTCACTAGATAACAGTACAGGTGTGACTGGTGCGATGCTTGACTGCCTTGAAAAGTTCGTAGTCTGGAAGCAGGTTGGAAACCAGAATGAAGATCTATTTAACAGCTTCTCCCCATAATTCCGGTGGCCGGACAGTGCAGCTAACATAAGGAGCAACAGCTGATGCTCAACGTCGCGAACGGAAAAACTGACATTGGCCAATTCTGCAAGGCGTTTTATGTCCCCCTGTTTTGCTTGCAAAAGCAAGCTCTGAGGGCTGCTAATTGTTTGATGTATGATCCATCCTGCTAAAGGTCAAGTTGCATCACCTACGGAAAGCAGAATTCGTACATCCTTCTTCACAGCGTTCATTTTGGTCCAGGTGTACTGAGATCGAAGAACACAAGATAAGTTGGTAGTATAGCAAGCTCCCACGCTGGGACCCCTTGATAATACAGACAAGAGAGGCACCAAGTTGATCCAGGAAAAACGGTGGACAATTTCGAGAAACCACAGGCTTGCTTCTCGTTCCCTGTATTCGTCAGCATTGGGAATGCAACAAAAACACTGGTACGCAAGGCCTCAGACTTTCAATTGAAGCAGTGTTGTTCTGATTTTCAGTCGACCAACACATGAGAAGTAATCCAAAACAGCGACAGTGGTAATTTATGACTTTGGATGTCTACTGAGATGGTGCAGGCCACTCGAAGCAAATGGATGAGATAAAATTGAGCGCAAAACATAAACGTAACGCCATACTCAATCCGCACTCGCTAATCGGGTTCGATAAAAAACACAACTCTTGATTCAGTGTGTTGTATCGTAACACCTACCATAGTTTGAAAACAAGAGTGGAGTTGTACAATAAACGGAGGCTTCCTCTGAAGAGCCAGAACTCGTTTCTCCACCATGACACAGTCCACATCATCATCTTGAAGGATGACGTCTTTCCGAAGAATTTTGACGGCATACGCTTCATCGGTATCCTTCCGCTCGGCTAGGAAAACCTTTCAGTACAAGTGAAGAAACAAGAAGTCGAGAATTTAACAAATTGAACTTTACCAACATATTCGGACTTTCCACAGTGGACATGTTTCTTAGTTCAAGAAAAACATGGAGGAAAATATCCAACCACCAGGAAGGTACATTGTAGAGAAAGAGTCCATAGAAAATAGTACAAACGGTGGGGATCACAGTGAGGGTGACCAAACATGCCCGTTCCTGCTCAGTAAGGTTGTCTAATCCTCATCTGGTTTCCCGTATACCTTGTTAAAATACAGTACAGTCATCTTCAAACTATAAAGATGATCCTTGAGGTACGCATAAGGCGATCTCTATTTGGAGCTGCTCTTTATCAATAAAGAAGGGATAACACTTGTCCTGCGTTAGTTTGTGTGAACGAGCATCTATGATGATCAAAGGAATCAAATACCCCACACTTACCACACTATTGAATTTATCCTTCCCAACAAGGGTGTGGGTGAATGCAATCTCTGAGAACATCTTTCGAAAGGCACTGTGTAGAAAACTATTAAACTATAGTGTTTCGAATATTTCATTTCTACCAAAAGTATATAAATCAGCGAATTCAAATACCGTTTACCCTGTACTGTGACAAATTAAAACCAAATCTCCGGAAAATTTGGCCCGGAAACTAAGGAAACCGCGGACCAGTATCAATAACAAATCCCCTGGTCAAATAGACGTTTTATTAGGTGTGATAACACCCATGTTGATGATATCTTGTCTCGTGTCATGCTATTCTTCAACCAAACTACCATAATAATAAACTAATAATAATCATTCAGCTGCAGCAACCTTTTGGCGCCTAACTGCCATATCACCAGAAGGAAGCATGAGGGCTGGGATACTGCCAGGTTGCCTAGGTCTAGACAGGGGAAGTCGAGAGGCAGAGGTCGGGTTCGAACCACGGAAAATCCGGTCAGCGAACTCGAGTTCTAACCACTGAGCCATCTGAACCATAATTAAGTAGCGTATTCTGAGGCTTTTGTATCACAAACCAAACCCACGAGAGAGATTTGTAAAAAAAGCTGCAGTCGCACAGCAAACATTAAATGTAAGCAATGTCAGTCCGGTAGGTTTTGCACTCCTGGTAGGTTTTTAGATAAGAAAACAGAGCAATATCATTCGAGTCACTCAGTCAAATCCTGCAAGGAGAGTCAGCCACAACGTCGATGGCTAAGACACAATTTAAAAAAAAACTATTGTAAAGGCCTCACCACTGAGATTCGACATGATGGACATGATTAACGATTGACACACATACCTTTCCAAAGCTTCCTTTCCCCAATACTTTGATAAACTTGAAATCCGTAGCTCGAACGACATCCCGACTCTTCGTCGTCACAGGATCTGACAGGTTCTCGGCGTTGGCCTGTCGTACAGACAAGAAACGAGACGTTAGTCTGTCATATGACACTATTCATAGGGTTGATGAAAACTCCTGGACAGCCCTTACTGGGGACATCAGTTACGGGTGAGTCTTGGCTTAGTCGACAACACCCGCGGATGCAGTGACAGAAGAGCAGACATCAAAATGTGCCGAGACAACGTCGATAAGACACAATTTAAAAAAAAACTATTGTAAAGGCCTCACCACTGAGATTCGACATGATGGACATGATTAACGATTGACACACATACCTTTCCAAAGCTTCCTTTCCCCAATACTTTGATAAACTTGAAATCCGTAGCTCGAACGACATCCCGACTCTTCGTCGTCACAGGATCTGACAGGTTCTCGGCGTTGGCCTGTCGTACAGACAAGAAACGAGACGTTAGTCTGTCATATGACACTATTCATAGGGTTGATGAAAACTCCTGGACAGCCCTTACTGGGGACATCAGTTACGGGTGAGTCTTGGCTTAGTCGACAACACCCGCGGATGCAGTGACAGAAGAGCAGACATTAAAATGTGCCGAGAATTCGAGAACTCATGAAGGATGAGAGTACCTTATGCAGGGATATGTGTACAACATTGTGTATTTATGTTAAATGTATATGTACGTACATATACATGTATATTGATAAGTAATAGTGGATTATGGCCGTTAGTTCGTTCGCTGAGCTGGGCAATTTGATTGCAAACGTTTCATCACCAATCGAGGTGACATCATCAGTGCGTTGTTAGAGAGCGTAGTGATGCCTAGCGATGGTGATGAAACGTTTGTGATCAAATTGCCCATCTCAGCGAACGAACTAACGAACATCTGCGCTACATGAGCTACCAACATTTTCCTCCATAGATAATGCATAGTTATATATATATATACATATATTTCGGTGGTCATATATGCATCATAACCTCATTCTAAGCTTCGGAAAATGAGTTTTATCCAGCAAACAGCTATCGCAAGTCACCTTCAGAAGTTACAGGAATATTAATTTGATAAATGGTTGAAAAACACCAAGTGAAAAATAAGCGCGACAAAATTAGGGAACTATTAAATGGCAGTCTCTGGTGGCATTTCCACGGAGTCCCAACTGAGTGGCGGGGGGGGGATTTGGCCAGGTTAACAGTTTCACAGAATGAAATGAAAGTCGCCCCTTGATGGTGGTGATAATGACTACTGTGGTGTCTTGTTCAAGTATTCTATTCTCCAGTCAACCCACGACAAACGACAGCATTAAGTATTCCCACATCCAGATGTATGCATCAGTCTTACTATGGGTTGAGTAAACAAACACCTGTCGGATTGGGCGCACCAAGTCTTTTATGGCCAGTCTTATCCCAAACCTATACAAACACGCCCACTCAACAACTTCAATTAACCCTTTTGCCTGTCCGTTATGTACACAGCAACCGTCGTTCTGAATAATTCGCTGGTGTATAACCAATATCCCACAAAGAATGAAGAATTGTCCACAAACTAGCACACACATATAAGTCCAGAACAATATGTCGCATAAAAGTGCCACCGAGATATTTTGCTTGCCGCTGAAAACATTGGTTTGACCGTTTCGGAATGCAGGTAACTGTATTATCGGATTATCGAATACCAAACTATGGCACCAGGCCAATTATCCAAGAAAATCTAGTAAGGAATTACAAAACAACGTGGAAAATCATGCTACATCAATACGTTCACTTACCATCCCGGCCTGAAGATGAAAGAATAAAATGCATTGTTAATGGGCATGCCGGACAGAATTCAAGCAGTAATTCCCTGTAACGGGACATTTTGACTGTTTCACTACTGGTAAGGGATTAAGATCAGAGAGAAATCAAGAACAGAATAAATCAGCGGCTCGGTAAGTTAGCTCCATTAGGTAGACTTAAAACAGCTCCCCCCAAATGAATGGCTGCCAATTCCGTTAACACCAGCGAAATTCGCACTCAACACCTGACAACAGCCATCCAATTCAACGACACACGGGATGTTAATGAAGATACGGGGTTCAATTCCAGGGAATCGTTTCTGCAAAATGTCAAATCGGTCAGGCGGTGTTTAAATTGTGGTACCAAGCGAACGGTGACACTTCTGATTTGGCATGAGCCTTCACGGGAGCAGCAAACAAGTTCCACAGTGTCGCACACCTGTCCTATAAGTCGTCCACACTGTCTACACAGGTAGATTCCCCTTTTCCACACAACTGCTGCTGGAGCTTGCGAAACAACAATTAAGATCAAGAGAGATTAAGAATACCAGTGTTTCTGCAGGTGCATTCAATTCCACAAGCCACTGTTTTCAACGCAGCCATTTTAATGTTCAAAAAAGAACGATTTCAAAGTTAATGACAAAAAATAACCGTTCAGCTGTAACACTCTTTCGTTAAGTAGCTGTCATGTAACCCGAGGGTAGTAAGAGGGCTAAGATAGTGCTAGGTTGCCCAAAACTAGAGAGGAACAGTCGATAAGCCGTGGTTGGGTTCGAAATACACATCTTCCGAGCTGTAAGTTCGCGTTTTAACCACAGAGCTATCTCTAGCCCAGACAAGGAACGCACGGCCATCTCTGAAACATTGACCACTGAACAAAGGGTTAACGAAAAGCTGAACTCGCGAATATCGAGGGCTGGCGTCGTGTTTGCAAAAACGTGTTTGGAGCGAGTGAACAGATAGTGTAGACAGTGGTGAGTCGTGCTGTCTGCACTTCTATACGGCAACGAGACATGGATGGTGTAGTATAGTAATATCCGAATACTTTGTCGATTTCATTTACTATGTCTGCGAAAGATCGTAAGCACACAGTGGTCTCACGGAATTCAAGTTCTTCATAAGACTATCTTACTTCATAAAAGGCCATGTGAAATGTACGACATTGAATCGCATTCCAAAAGTCTGCTATACGGGCAGTTGAGAAATGGTCGTTCAAGTGGAGAAAACAAAGGACGATGTAGAGACAGACTTTAGGTTATTCTAAGAAATACTACTTTTGATTTTAAATTACAGGGAAATCTGGTGACAGGCAGAACTATCTGCAAAACTATCACATAGGTAGGTATGCTGCATTTCCGGGCCAAACGATCCATTCTTGAGCAACCATCGGACAGTGCAAATTTATGGAGCTAATCAACCTATGGACGCTGCCCGCATTTCTGCATTCTGCTTTTATCTGTGTTCGCTAGTTAATCTTCAACTGTAAAAGCCAGTCAAGACTCGTTGAAGACACATATGTCAGCATGAATAGATTACATCGGTTACCAAGACTAGGTTTCATCATTTATCGGAAGTGCTTTCTTGCTTCGGCATGCAGATTTCATCCTCGAAAGTGCGAGGTCTTATACTTCAGAAATCCCGATTTCGTGCATTTCTTCGAAGTTTCAGAATAAGAAGCTTGGGTTTGCCCATAGGTGCTTGACGGTTTCAAAAGCCGTGATTGGACTGTGACAAATGAATTTATGGCAGGTATACCGAAGGCACGAGCAATATGTGCATACGTGCTTCAGCTTCGGTGTAAGAAAAGAGGTGAAGGGCAAAAGGTAAAAGGGTCTTGCCTACAAAACGACTGTGCCAGCAGTTCTACTCCATGGCTATGATACTTTTTTCCTTTAATCTGGATGCCTCGGACGTCTTCATCACCGCTATCTGCACAATATGGCAGGCGTTGACTGGCTGCAGCATTAACGTAATGAAACCGTCCATAAACGGGTACTAGGTTATGGGTCGTATTCGCTTGAACAGCATATAAGGTTTATCAGATTCATCAGATCAAGATAGTTGGTGCATGTAAAACGTATGTTACACCACCGTCTATCAAAGAAAGCCCTGTTTTTCAATCCAATGGTCGCTGTTGAAAAATTCGCGGCGGACAAGCCACAACGTGACAAAACAAAGTGAAAGTGGCTATTGTCAAGTTGAGCGCAGTAGGATCTCCGCAAATTCCAAAAACATAAGAAAAGGTAAGCATGTTCAAAAGAATTCCAGTTTGTAAAACTTATCACGCTGTACGTATTGTTATGAGACGATCACTTACAGAAGATGTAATTTGATGCATTGCTCCACCACCATGGCAAGGGAAAAATAAATCTCGACTTATTTCAGAAGAGCTTGGTAAACAGTCGGTAGTTTTTATTTGGGCAACGTTTCGCTTTTGACACAAAAGCTTCATCAGGCCAAGTGAGCAGGTCACAAAATTGGCCAGGTTATAAGACAGACGAGAAATCAATCAGTAGGTTCTCTTCAGACTAAATCAGTGTTGAGTGTCAATTAACGACTCTTATGGGCTAGTGTGGGTGCCAAAATCTTTAATCGATGTGTTGGAGGGTTCAAACTTAGTTCCGATCGCTTTTCGTTCCTTAATCTTCCACTTCAGGGTGCTTCACTTGATGATTCGCCTCGGGTGCAGCTGTTAGATTTTCCTTAGTCTTTGTGGGGTTGTGAGTGTACCGACAATTGATTGAAATCTCGACTTAGTTTTATCTGAGTTACTCAAAATATGCAAAACGGGGGGTATAACTACGGAGACAAGAATCATCATCACCATCATTGTCAGCTGTAATAACCGCATACTCGTCATGCAGTGGTTGTAGCTGCCCCAGTTTCGTTCACCGATATTTTCCTTATCTTTGTGGGGTTGTGAGTGTACCGACAATTGATTGAAATCTCGACTTAGTTTTATCTGAGTTACTCAAAATATGCAAAACGGGGGGTATAACTACGGAGACAAGAATCATCATCACCATCATTGTCAGCTGTAATAACCGCATACTCGTCATGCAGTGGTTGTAGCTGCCCCAGTTTCGTTCACCGATGATTTTGGGGGTGGGTGGGTAGCTGCGCATTGCAGGCGAGATGATAAATTGGTGCATAAATCCAGCACTGTCAGTGGGCTGTCAAGTGAGGGGTCGAAAAAGGATATATGCATTGAAGGCAATAGCTTGTGTGCACTAGCGCCATTGAGGGCGCGACTGGGGCATGTCTGACAATGTCTCTAGCCATTGATGTGGCCCGTCTCGGGGTCGCTATTCAGGAAAACGGCAAGGACCAGCGCAGCTGAGTTTGCTGGTAATGACTTTCACACTTCGATGCCAAGTCATTGTTTGACCGCCTCTGGCTCTCTTCTACCCTTCACGTGGTTGTATGAAAAGAGCCCTTCGAGGATGCCAGTCGACTGGCATACGCAGCACGTGGCCAAGCCAGCACAACCTATGCAGTGTGATCAGTTCATCTATCGAGGGTGAGTTATTTCTCCCGAATACCATAACATAAAACAAAAAAACAGTCATAGCAGTAACGAACGAACAGGGGCAAAAGACAGTTATTTACACAAGAGTGGAGCGGTTAGGTTAGTATAAAGATAGGAACGGGGATAAAAAAAGAAACCGCCCCTGTAAGTACGACACACCTACCATACTTTCTGCCTAACCACCAGACTTGAGGCAGAGGAAATGAAAAAGTAGAATTCACGCTATCTGAACAGCCAATTACCTCGTATTGTGCGGCAAGGTCGGCGAAAGACGGTGTGTTATTTTCCGATGTGCACGGCACGGAATAGTATTCACCCTGTTCTTGCCCCAGCAATTTGAACCAACAGTCAATCGGTTTGCTTGCTAACTCCGTAACCCCAAACGATAAGGAGCCCATGAAATCATCACGAGACGTGCGATCCCAGTCCCAAACTTCGATTTGCAATCGTTTCGCATCATCCTCCGGGCGAATGTTTCTGTTGAATACAGGAGAAAGAAATCCAGTGGATGTGGACGAAAGGTCTTGATATACTGATGAACTGCCATTCAGGTCAGGTTAAGTACGAGGATGATCAGCTTTACGATCAGCCCTTTTGTTATTCCAGCCATCCGCAAAAACAGTAGTCACCTATGGTACTCACACACAAGGAGCTCCCCCTCAGAGGAAACACCTCATCTAGAAAGCAAATTTTGCGGTATGGTTCTTTTCTACTATGATCAATCCTCTTCTTGGGGCTCTTGTACCACCAGCTAATGCTTCATAGAGTGAGTGAGCTCGCTGGAAGAATTTACTCGATCCTTCAACCCTGAACAGATATGCACAGGTATCATTCCCAGCAAGACAACGATCGCCGCAGCTCAGTCTTTTAATGAAGCTGTTAATCGAACGATTCACTGGTCTTCTTCGGATTTACTACCGTATAAAAACATCCTCTAAGGTTGGGCAGTAAAAACATAAATTCCTCAAATTACCAATTTTGGCATACCAGTCAACCATTACACCCATGTAGAAGAAGTGACCAACCAACACGAAGATCCAATTCCATGTCTGCCGGTGAGCTGTGCACTCGGGGTTCCAAAGCAGGGAAGGTTAGTCTGAATTACCTCCACCTCTTATTTTTTTCATGCCTTGACTAGCAGAAGTTTATCCGGGTCTAACACGGACAGAAACCATTTGACTACCAAAAGTAGAGTTGTTAGTTAATGCTGAAGCATGATCCAGAGAGATCTATCCGCAGTGAATTTCCCTAGAGCAGCTTTGTGTAGCATTCAAAGGTAGGTAGATATGTTTCGTATTTACTATGGCGTTACGAATAACTTCCAAGGAACAGAAAGTGAAAAGTCCCGTTGTTTCGATATTTTTCGCCGACAATGTAACCCATTCATTGACAATTATTAACAAACTTGCACTAGATGACCAATGCCGTGACGTTTTTGGCTGAGCTGAACAACATTCGTGTATAAATAGGATAGATTTCTCGCTACAAAACAGCCTAAGCGCCTGTACCACACAAGTGAGCTTCCATCAAGAAATTGTGCCCGGTGTTTTTAGTTTTAACAAGAAAACAAGACCAAACATCTTTTAGCCCACACTATGGTACAGCTGACGCTTCTGAACCTTTCGGAAATCTGGAAATGCTTAAAATCACTGACCTATTTAGGGGCTGTGCTTCTACTGATGTAATCCATAGATTACCGAGCATCACCTGCTAAAGATAATAACAGCAAACTTCTCTTGCTGTCAGATCTTGATTGAGATCTTATTCAACCCTCGATAGCGGTTCGGGTACTCCAGTTGGAATAACAAACCGCGTAACGAAGACAAATGAACACTGGTTAGAGTTTCGCTTTTTTCGTGGGTTTTCATAATGAACAAAACGAATGAGGTGAACCGCCGAAAAAATGATGAATCTGGCCCGGAGATAATCCTCGACGGAGTGCTACGCTCCGGCGTAATTCTTCGGCAATACGTGCATACAACTACGGCATTTGGATACAAATACAACAGTAAAAATTTCTTACGTACCAGTCCTTACCACTATACCTCATCAATACCATATCAACATTACAACAGTAAATACTAATGTTAAACCACGGTACGTTGCGATGGAACAGAAATGCGAAAGACCTCATCTCTTCCGAAGCAATGCTGACAGACTGTGAAGTAATTAAATACCATAATTCCCCTAATGTGTTTTGCAGAGATAACTATACAGTGAGTAAATTTAATTAGAGGCTTACATGGTGAACGCCTCTTCCCAAACAGGATCCAGAGAAGACTTGATGGTTTTTGTTTTAAACTTGCGGTTGAGTTCATCAGAGGGACCAAGGCGTAGCTTCACGTACGGATCCGCCAATCCGTTCGGGTCCATTGGAATGAGGTTTTTTGCTTCCTTTACTAGGTTATTGGGGAAGACATGAGAAACGAACAAAGTTTACGTGTTCATATGTATAAACTGAAAGCAAAGCACCATAAACTAAACTATTACTGGAATTTGCGTAGTGAAACGATGCTTGGCATACGTGTTGCACAACCGTTACCGGTTCCCAACAAAGTGGGGGGAAATCATATATAGTATAAAACCAATGCGGCATCCCAAAACAGCCTGAAAAGTTGTTCCATTATTCATTTCCACATTTCAAACGGCTGCTGCCCACAAAACGTGACATCAAGCGCAAGCAACACAAACACGGCACGCCAAATCTAACTGGAACACCACAAACGATTTCTTTAGCGAAGACTCATTCTGAAGCGCCACTTTCCAAAGCTAACAGGTGTTTTATGTTGCATCCCACTATGGTCTCTTCATTTACAGATCAATTATCTTTTTTCTGTATAGCGATTTCCTGGGTACCATTAAAATGCACATAAACAAAGTCCAAGCACGGAAACGATGCCACAGTGAAATGCGAGAGCGCCGTAACTCACTAGTGTACATGATTTCTTTAAACAATGTGAGACGTAAATAGATTTCCTACACGACACAATCTAACTCAAACTGGTAGTAAATCAACGGAGTGTTCCGAAATGCCTTGGACCTCTTTAACAGACAAGACCACCCGTAGGTGAAAAAGTCCTTCAATTCAATTTACTCTGCGAGTAATAAAACGTGCGTCAAGATCGCTTAATTTGAGTAGTTGTATTTCCTTTTACAAGGGATGAGGATTGATGGAGAACGGATACTTCCCAAAGAGGATGTCCCAAGCCTGTCATGAATTCAAAAACTTGCGGTGTTTTACACCCTTCACTTAGCTGTACGAGAAGCTATGAGTTGTATTAGCGTGAAGTTAGAGAGTCAATTAGCCGTAGGACATTAAAAACACGTGTTCGATGCAGAGTACATTATGCGTTATGACTTGTACGTACATTACGGTCTAGTACTTTCTTTTAAAACTCATGCAACCTGATGAGCTCTGGATGAAACAAACCGTTCAAACTAACGGGTGAGTCAATAATAGTACCTATGTTCAAAAACGGTACTGGCCGTGAGTGTGACAAATACAGAGAAATCAAACTGACCGAACTATGGCATACCCCGGAATTCTTTTAAAATGTGCTGTTTTCGTTCATGTACTGGCAGGCAAGTGAGTGTGTAGGGAGCTAACCAAAACTTTCCTGCAAGCAGGGCTCAATCTACTTATTTTGTTAAGTTTGGTCACTGATGAGATAAAGCAAACTCCGGAAGGTCTCTAAAACCATGCTGTTCAGGTTTCTCCTGGCGTAAATCCTGTTGACTTGGAATATCCTGAGATTGTTCTAATTTTAAGAGCAGGAGGCCGTTCAGCTGTAGTACCCTTTCGGTGCCTACCTGCCATTGCGACCAGAGGAGGCACGAGGGCTGGGATACGGCCAGGTTTCCCAAGCCTAGATAGGAGGAAACAAGAGGCAGAGGTCGGGTTCAAACCAAGGACCTTCTGGTCAGTAAATTCGCGTTCCTAACTCTGGGCCATCTAACATGAAGCATGAGCGTTAGTATACGAGCTGACCTAATCCATCCAGTCCTTTCGTATGTGCATCGCGCTCATAGTCGTGCTGCGGAACGTACAGTATCTGAGCATGCCCCTAAGAATTTAAGAAGTAACACGGGTAGTCGTGGAACTCCATATGCACCACGGAGGTTGTATTAGTTCCGATGGCAATGTGATAGACGAAGTTAAACGAATCACAAAAGACCAAATGGCGTTTGTAGATTTGCTCTAAAAATACATATTAATGGGTCTCAAAGAACACATAGATCAGACTATAGTGCGGGTTGAATGAATTGACCACTTCAGGAAGGGTATCTAAGATACCTTCAGGTCTTTGACCACTAATGCTTGAAAACTATGGGTTGAATCGGGTGGAGTGAACAGATTTGGGATAGGATCGGAAAACTAGTCTTCAGTGAAACAGCAGGTACTTTGCCCAAATGCATTCAGCACTACAAGCCAAGGTGGCTTATGTTTTACGTATGCTAAATCACTACCTGCTGAGCATCGTTTTCTGTTCTTAATTCGGAGTATGGGTGGACAGAACTCGACACGGTAGAACAGAATGATGTCACAAAGGTCTGAATGCTGCTGTTCGTCTCCCAGGATGGATTTCAATTGCCCCCCACCGTGCATGGCTGGAGAAACTGAAGGATAGTCGAGGAGCAAATGTCAATAGGAATCATGCTGTCACTTCCTATCTTGATAATCTGACTGAGTGCTGGAGGTGTATGTACCTCAAATGTTTGTGGTGGGCTAACCCTAGGTCCCAATCCCTATTCGATTTCTTCTTCCCATCAAGCATTGTTCAAATATGTTGTCATGGTTAGGCAGTGAAGCACCAGGGTCCTCAACTAGTATTGATGTAAGTGACGACGGTGACGATGAACTCTGGCAAGTGAATAAGGAAACCGCAGCGTTTCTTTAACTTGAGCAAGAAAGCAAACATTGATAACGTAGCACGGAGGCATTCAAGCCAATAAAACGACATGTGCGCCCTTTGTCTGCCGGCAGAACGGCCTTTAGGTAGCAGTTCCTAATGCTCCCGATAAAGAATGTCTCAAGAAACACTATTATTTGAAAACCCGGAGTTGTTGTGAACACGCAAAGCGGACTGTTTCCGACAATCCCCCGTCGTTTGACATCACTCCACAACCGATACGAAAGGTGCGGAAAACTCTGGGCTTTGTATGGTGGATTTGGTAGTTGTGCGAAAATCCCACTTGAGTCTACCATTTTCCATTTTTCATCTCCTGTTCAACCCTTTCCTATCCCACAGCGCCCATCACTTCCTAGAGCCCCTTAACCACCCCCGGAAATCTGATTAGTCTGACAATGGAAACATAAAAACAGACTGATTGCAGAACACAGCTTCATCCTTACCTTCAACCAACAAACTCTGGCCCTGTAATCGTATTTTCAGATAAATTCGCCCGCGCCGCTCCGTATGGTCCACGCCACAGAGGCGAGGTATTTTGGCTTCACAGTGTTTGTGCACGTTCATGTCACAGCCTGGAATATCATTATTTGGATAGTGTCGTTTAACTGTACTTTGACATTTGAGTCCCTGCTGAAGGAGTCCATATAGCAAAGAGCCACAGTGGTCGCAAAATGTGGGACTAGAAAACGTATGCACTCGAAACTTGTGACATCTTGCGGACTGGATCGAGCTCCAACGTAATGAGGGGAACTAACTTACATCAACGGCAGGACCTAGGTCCACGCCAGGGCATTTGAATGCAACCAGTTGGTGGCAGCGCTTATGTACAGCAAAACAACATGCTTCACATTGGACACCATGTTTTCCGAGGCCCCTGAAAAGAGTAATTCACCAGAGGATGAAACCTACCAGATGAAGTCTTTGCAGTGTCCACAAAATGTGAATTGTTTGAAAAACTTAGCGACGAATTTATGGCCGTTGACTACAGTAACATTTTTCTGCCTCAGTGCACCGCGTCTCGCAAAGGCATTCGTCAAATTTTTTGTGGAAGACCTTCTGGAATCATTATCCAGCGTCATCACTTTTCATCCGTGCACAAATAGGGCCAATCGGGGGTGACGCAAACCCGGCTGCACACCCGAATGAAGGATTCGGAGTAACGGCAGTTAGACTACGGTCACTGTAATTCTAACTGGTGTACTAAAACAAATTGAGGTCATGGTTGGAAACAATGGGGTTCGAGGTTTTGTCAGACAGCTAAACACCACATGGACACTTGCCCACAGAATTCTTACACCCCAATGATGTGACAGATAAGTAATCTATAACTCATGTTCCCCTCTTAACTCGCGGCTCATCATGGATTCAAGAATGAGTGCACAGGATAAAGACATCTGCCGGCCTCACCGTCGGTGTTTTGCTTCTCGTTAATTTTCAAGCTTGTTTCTATCCTTTTCTCGCTTTTTGTTTTTCCCTCTTGTTTCTCTTTTTCCCTCTCCATTTTCTTCCCGCCGAACTACTCACGGAAAGCTCTTCGGACGTCACCCCAGGCTCCCTCTTTGATTGCGACGCTATCACTGCTAACGGGCTCCCCGCCTTACCATCACGATTCATGCTACAACCAATGATATTGTAGTATTCACTCTATGGAAGCACCGTGGCGTAGGGATTATCCCGAGGCATGCGTCCACGACAACTTATGTGAATGGAAAACAGAAAGAAAGTTCATGTGCCGAAGCCTAATGAGCAAAGTTTTACATCAATACTTACATATAAATCGGTCAAAGTGGTGGACGCCGTATGCTACTCTGGTCCGCTCTTTTGAAGAACACTGTCCTCGATGTGCCATGGCCCACGTGAACCGGCCATTTGCTCTTAACTCGCGGCTCATCATGGATTCAAGAATGAGTGCACAGGATAAAGACATCTGCCGGCCTCACCGTCGGTGTTTTGCTTCTCGTTAATTTTCAAGCTTGTTTCTATCCTTTTCTCGCTTTTTGTTTTTCCCTCTTGTTTCTCTTTTTCCCTCTCCATTTTCTTCCCGCCGAACTACTCACGGAAAGCTCTTCGGACGTCACCCCAGGCTCCCTCTTTGATTGCGACCCTATCACTGCCAACGGGCTCCCCGCCTTACCATCACGATTCATGCTACAACCAATGATATTGTAGTATTCACTCTATGGAAGCACCGTGGCGTAGTGATTATCCCGAGGCATGCGTCCACGACAACTTATGTGAATGGAAAACAGAAAGAAAGTTCATGTGCCGAAGCCTAATGAGCAAAGTTTTACATCAATACTTACATATAAATCGGTCAAAGTGGTGGACGCCGTATGCTACTCTGGTCCGCTCTTTTGAAGAACACTGTCCTCGATGTGCCATGGCCCACGTGAACCGGCCGATGCTAGTGGAGTGGTTCGTGGAGATTGTAAGTGTGTATAGAGTTTGGTGTGCCTGGGACTGCGTCCGCCGCGCGTGATTGAGCGACATGTCAGCCGTGAGGCCTGTATGTTCCGGTATAGAGCCAAGATCTTTGTGGCAGGCCCACGAATGTGGTACCTATTCAGGTGTGGTCACCAAATATGTAGTATGTATTTCATGGAGTTGACGAGAAACTCCAGTTAATGTGAAAAGGACAGAGATAAACTGGCGCCGCCCAGGTCCGTGTTCCGTCAGCTTTGGCCATAGGTTAGATGGAAAGACAGCCGACAGTGAAACTCGGGAAATAGCTCCACTGATTTTTGGGGTACGATTCCCGCTGAACAAGCGGCTGAGCTGGCTAGGGCAGGAACGCACCATGAGCTCCACTCTCTGAGTCGTTTGGGATATGCATCCAAGCACAGATGTTCAGTTTAGAGCTTACTAATAAGAATTAGCAGTGGTAAGTCATGAAACTATCGGTGTTTTCCACTAGCTCGGTAAGTTTCAATGTCAATTTCTTGGGAGCTTTCCCTGCTGAGTTATATCTTGCGGACAATTTTTACTGAGAAAATAAGCCAAAGGATGGTCGCAGTGGTCTTGTGCACCTATAAAGAAAACGAATCCATCCCAGTGCCCAGAAGCCAGAAATGACTATAGTGCCAGTAGAATATATAAGTTGGAGAGGTGAAGGATAGCTAGACTCGGAGAAGCGTTTGGGTGGCATCTGACTGCTGTGCAGAAAACGACACAATGCTCACTCTTCCGGAAGTGTGGGTCCACCAAATGTAACCGGAAGTCCCTGGTTTAAGGGAATTTGCTCTAGTACATGAGAGTCAACAACGAGATCATGCACAACCCGAGATTAACCCTCTGTGCTACTTTGGATGGGCAAAGAAGCGGAGCGGGTAGGGCCCTAATAGTTGATCGGAAGGCTGAGATTCAGCACCGATTTAGACGGGTGTGGAAGGTTTGAGCAAGGAAGACGATAAGAAGGTTGGCCAGAGGGAGAGAGAGTAGGGTACTCGTGGTATATATTTTCCAAATATTGATACTTGTCGATAATCCTCTCCTTTGAAATCTATAGGGCTTTGTATTGCTCTCATGAGGTAAAGCGTTTGATGATAGCTGCACTAGGTACCGATTTTGAATATGTGGCATGAAATCCACCATTTGGAATTCGTTCTATCACAGGAGTAGATATTGTAACCAACGTAGCAGAAGTGTCAGCTTGGAGGCTTGTTTTAGTCGCGCAAGCGAGACTTGGTGGCGCAATGGCGTTGATCTGTCAGAGATTCTGAACTTCTGATACCGCTGGGCTGTCCCTGAAAACCATGGCCTATAAATTCAAGTGTAAGCCACTTGCCAAATAAGAGATTAGTAGTCTCACACAGGTCGGACTGTGGCACCAGGAGAACTCGGTTGGGTGATTTGGGGTCACAAATATTACGGTTGATCTGGCGTGTGTCCTGAATCCATCAAGGTGCCTTAAGCACTGGGGAGTGGATGGTATGGAAAGTGTCCGGAAATTTTGTCTGGGTCCACAACAGGACAGACGATATAAGGCGTGTAAGCGAAGGGTGAATCGGTAGGCGTTTCGTCTTCAAGACCAGGGGATGCACAATGGAAAGACCGGATGCAGCAAGAGCCGGCCGATGTGGGGGCGGCAGCTGCTTAAAACAGCCAGCAGATGGGAAATACACGCGCGGGCAAGAAGGGGAAAGTTGGTGAGAATCATAGCTAACTGCTGGTCGTTTCAGGTACGGAGTTTTGGCATGCACGTGGTGGGCATGGTTAGTGCACTTATAATGATTTCGGGACAAGGCTCAGTATCTTACGGCTGCACCACAGCTGCTTCACCGATGACTCACACATAATGAGTCTATCCATGAACTAACCCACTGCGGTGGTATGGTTCCAAAAATCACCGCCCTACCCAAGCTGGTAACTGGCACATACTTCATTGTACCCCCACTGGCTCCCGGCCTGGCAGTTACCTGAGCACCCACGACAGTGCCTGTCGGCTGAATCTGTCCATGAACTCTAAGCTGCTGGCTATCCTCGCACATTGTTGGACCTCTACGCTCATGAATTTTTTTGTTCTTACCGCAGCCACCTGGTTTTTTGCAATATCAACACTGCCTGTTCCAGCGACCCCGAACAAACTATGTTAACACTCCTTACAACAGTTTTTTCCAGTTAAACCTACACTCTTGTAGCAGAAACCGCTTTCTCCCCTAATCTGCTTAGGCGCAATTCGTCAACCTCAGTTTATTCATCGGGTTTCGAGTTATCGCCGCAAACACTCAAGGATATCTCATCTTTTCAACGGCTATCAACTTTATTTAAAAATGTCGAGTCCCAATGTTGGCATACTCTATGATGTTGTTGTCATTCAAAACCCAAATTTTCCCTCAGTCCCTCCACAAACTTACCATCATACCCCCATTTCACGTGTGTTGCAGTGTGACAGACTTCCATATCTATGCTGTGTTCACTGTGTGTGTTTAATGTGTGTTACTGGACTGGGTGTTTTTCTATTTCCCCAGTCAACTTATACCTCGTCCTAGTCAAGTCCCCGTCCCGGATTACTCTATCAGCTCTGTCTAGTGACTGGTGCCCTCAGCCCAACCCTAACTAATAAAAACGAAACCAAAGTCTTTTTTCCTTCATTTCATTATCAGGGCGCATTCTGCGCTTATCGGAACAGAGAACACATCTACTCGCCGCTTCCAGTGGTAGACACGAAAGTCTTCACCGCTATGCACCATCTACAGATTAGAGCTGATAACGGTGCTTTGGGGACTGGTGACTATTTCTCTTGCACACACTTCCTCTCCTGGTAGTACTCAACTCGTGCAATAAGCACCCGATCAACCGGTTATCTTAGAAATCCACCCCTGTCAGCCCTTATACAACTCATTCCCATGCCACCACGCTTCCACGCGCTTATATCGGCTTTTGCCAGATCCCTTGTAATGTAATATCGTATGTTAGCAAACCCAACCACTGGTCGCTAGCCTGCTAAGTACAAATCTATCTATTTCCTACTCCACATAATCGCTTGTCATCACCCTAATTGCAGAAGACGTTAAGTTTTCTAGCTGTGTATAGTAATGCATATTATCCCATTTTATATCCCATAATCGCTTGACCCTAATTGCAGAAGACGTTAAGTTTTCTAGCTGTGTATAGTAATGCATATTATCCCATTTTATATCCCTTCAAACTCAACTCACTTTGCGAATCGCCTCCCATCCCCTCATCTTCCCAAGCTTTGAACTTCGGAAGTGCCCGTTTTGGACGACCTGGTTAGCTGATATCCACCCCATCTGGCCTATGATCTACAAGTCCGGGATCACCAAGCGGACCAAGAAAACCTACATTCCCACATCGGCTTCGTTCCGGCTTTTTTCCTCGACCAGACCGAAATGAATACAGCTGCCCAATGAACTGCACATCCCAGGCGAATCATCTCAAATATGACGTCCGTCACGGGGCTGTCCAAAAACTGAAGCATGTCAGGCCAGTGATGGCACGGCACTGCCATGCGCAGTTTGATAGCACACCCGCAACTGTTTCATTCCTCCTCCCAACCGAGCCCTACTGCCCACTCATTTCATTGACCC